TCTCATCTCAGTAAAACACTGAGAGGAGGTCCTGTCAGCCCAGCCTCTTCCCTGCTCTACCTTCCTCTCTGGCCCGTCCACACCCACCTACCTCCACCGCATCTCCACGTCTTCCTTTATCAAGCCTAACAAAATAGCACTGTTCCCAACTGGGAGCAGAACACTTCGGCATAGACCCTGGGCTTCTGACTTACCTTGGACATTAAGAGGGGAAATTCTTCTCTTAAACCGGTTTCACAATTACAAAGTCAAAGAATGCCATCAAGTCTACCTAAAAGTCTGACCCATGGATGTGACGTGTGTGACTAACTCTAATTATACAAGAACTGAACTCTCTCTCTCTCTCTCTCACTCACACACACACACAATGAAATGCAGTGAAGGAGTTACGTCCCCAAATGAAACAAGTTCTTCTCTACTGCTCAGAAATTGCAATGAGGCTTAAAATGCATAGGCTTTTCCTCACCTGATTAACAGATACAAAAGACAGGTGTTTATGGGCAGCACGTATAGTAGGAGAATAAGTAGAAGCATATACAGGTTCCTATAGAGCAAAGCAAGAGGATTAGAGGTGAAAAGAGAAGGTTTATCAGAGCTGGGAGGGAAGGAGTAGAGACAAAAATGAGGTATCTCGACCAGGATGTTAATTTACTCATTGCAATTTCAGTTCTCTTTTCAAGACAGTCCCTTCTATTTGTTTGTTTTCTTAGAGGGCTAACAGAAACCCACACCAGCACAGTAAATACAACCGAGTCAGTTCTGTACAGTAATTACATGAGTTAATGACAAGATTACTGCAGTCTCTACAATATTCAGTTACAGAGAGGGGAACCCCAAAGTTCATCGACAGGTTCAGCATTTACCATAAAATCTCTTACTTAAAGTCTTTAAGGTTTGTCATTGTACGATTAAAAAAAAAATTAAAGAGACAGGATAGCTGTCTTCTCTGGATAGAGGTGGCATCTTGCTTGGGGGCAAGAAACCAAACAGTGAAGGCTTAAAAGGGCAACACCAGTGATGAAAATTATACATGGCGAGGTCGAATTGTAGCTAGAATCTAGAGGACTGCTACGTTAGAGTCAGGCTTACCCAAAGCAGATTAGAAATGGCACTATCATCTGCAAATCCTCCTTCTTCCTACAGGTTAAAACAAACAGGAAACATTGCAGAGTGCTGGAAGAGTAGGGTAGGGTTAGGGTGTCACAAGCATTCTCAAGGATTTGGTGCCTGGGCTCACTTGGACGCATGCACAAACATGCTCACACAGTCGGTGACACAAACACCAGGCAAACTCCCATCCCAACAGTGCGATGATAATCTTTCATTTGGAGATCATACCCTCAGCCTTTCTCTCCCTCCTCCCTTAGCTCTTTGAGGCGACTTCTTTCTCCTGAACTGTGATTTGGAATTTCAATTGAAATTCAATTGCTGAATTTCAAATGTCAGCAGACAATTAGAACGTGAATGTGGCAGATTTACCTTCGCTGAATTTTCAAGAACATGCTTCGGGACATCACAGATCTTAGCTTGATTCACTGACCTGATACTACTGAGCACAGCTGGAAATTAACTCCACATCTGTGACTCAGACACAGAACTTGTAATGGCACGTTCTATAAAGGGATTTTATTTCCTGGAAAAAAGTCTGATATATTGGATGATTATCTTAAACTGTAGGCGAGTCATGACATACCTTGATGTCAAACATGCCAAAATGAGGTGGAAATTTAAAATAATCACTTGGTTTAATAAATAAATAAATAAATAAATAAATAAATAAATAAATAAATAAATGCAATTGAGTGGTAATGGAGAGACTCCCGCTTTGAAAACTTTGTTTCATTTTTCTGGCTTTTTGGATGGAATGAGTTAGCCTGGAGGGACCGGTCTACGGATCGCGCTCAAGTGCACACATTCCGGACAGTGTGGACCTGGCCAAATCCACAAACCACATGGCTTTTCCATCTTCAGAACTAATTATACTTGCTACAAAAGCAGACATGCTTTTAGTCCTGCCCTGGACTAAGCCAAGAACAGGAGAAAGGAGAGAGAAGAAAAGAAGAGCAGCAAGGGGAGAGAAAGGGGGAGAGAGAGAGGAGAGAGGAAGAACCCAGAATGGTTATTACAGGAAAGGAGAGAGTCCAGTAAACAAATGATTTGTGCTCTGAAGCTCCAAATCATCCATCCCGATGCGGGGGGCGGGGGGGCAGAATAAATCTGGAAAGCAGGGAACTGCTGTTAAGTGAGGTGTTCTCTGAAACACAACCAGTCTTTTCATAGGGAATGGGAAGCTCTTAGTTCCCCAGATCTATTCATGGGCCAAGAGAGATTTTCTTCCCAGGAAGGATCCAGAATGGGATGCCGGTTAGAGCATCAGGAATTTGTTTTGTCTGGGGACAAACTCTTTGACAGAAACAAGACCCTTACAGATCTTTCAAGGCATCGTTGATTGGTTTCTAATGCGGCCACTAGACAATCTAAAATTACATATGCTGCTCACATTTTATTTTTACTGGACAGCGAGGATTTTCATAGGGGCCACGGGCATGATTTATAGGGAGTCCCGTCTCTATTTCCTGCCTCTTCTGCATTTCCCCAGGCTGCAGCTCATGGGGTTGTGCTTATAACATACAAAAGCTGGAGGAGGGTGGACGGGAAAAAGTCTGGCCACCACAGTTCTGTGCCTTTGATGAATTCACAAACTGTGCTGGAAGTGAAGCCCTGACTGTATAACCAGCTCTCTTCTTCTCTTGGTGGAAAAGATGGAAGGTTCTAGAACTTGCTCCCCTTAGCAGAGCTCTCCATCAGCAAGTCTAGATCCAGCCCAGGCAGCCAGATCCCATCTGCATGCACCACATGGCATGAATGTCTTTCTTTCTCCGGGCAGTATTCAGACACCCAGGAGCAGAGGCATCTCTCCAGCACCCTTCGGCTGTTGGGGGACCATCTGAAGACAGATTAGGTTTAAGGCACCTCACATCTGAGCCCAGCGAAGGTGTGACTGAAATATATTGCCAGCCCTTAGGATGAAAAGAAGCCGAGGGCTTATCAGGGGCCATGTGAAAACCACTTGACCTCAACAGAACCTGAGATTTCCCAATGTCTGTTACAAAAGCCCAAAATAGATCGGCTTATTTTAACTTCAAAGAGCTTACTGTCTCAGGCCCTGGCAAACTAGGTCACTGAGGAGGAGGAGAAGAGGAGGAGGAGGAGTTGGAGGAGGAGGAAGAGTGCATTCACGATGGGTGCGGCATCTGCAATGTCCAGGAGCACAGAGACACGTCTGCACACTTGGGCCCCAGGCATGCTTAGAGCCCCGGCGCTCCTGTGGGCTGCGCTCTCCCCCACGGGCAACGAGAGTCACCACCTCAGCCCTCCCACCTTCTGAAAACCTAAGTGGGATGCAGTTCAGATCTCATCCTCTACTCACAGCTCAAATGATCCCCCCCATCTTTTAAGGGGTAGGGCGCCTATCCCATTCACTGTTCCCAGGAGCCCAGCTACCTTGAGAGCTGTATCTGAATTTTCACCAGCCCCATATGGGCCTGTCAGCTCCTATGGCTTCTCTGCATCTTCCAAAATGACCAACAAGGAGTGTTAAAGTTATTGTTGAACCGATGATTTCAAGACCCTTTTAAATTAAGTGTGTGGGCAACAGGGATACATCGAGGGACCCCGGTTTTTGTTATTGTTTTTTTCCACTTCAAGATCTCATTCTTGAAATCTAGATTTTGCCCACATGCTTTTAAGTCAGCTATATTAGAGAACTTTACAAATGGCTGAAATGATGTTTTCAGTCAATATCTTTAATATCTTATATGTCTCAAACAAGAAAACTCAAATTGTTGTTTCAATTCAACCTAAGAGGACACACAAGGACCATATCAAATAGCACCAGAATTCTCGCGGCTGAAATGATGTTTTCAGTCACTATCTTTAATATCTTATATGTGTCAAACAAGAAAATTCAAATTTTTCTTTCAATTCAACCTAAGAAGATTCACAAGAACCATATCAAATAACACCAGAATTCCCGCCTTAGCATCCTACACGGGCACCTCCCTTCCATGGAAGTTTCTGAATGGCTACCGGCCACATTCACAGTTCCTCTCTTCCACAGATGCTAAGTTGTTTTAGAACTAAAAGAGTTACAGGGGATTATCCTGGTGGAACTGTTGGTTTTTTGGGTTTTTTGTTTGTTTCTGTTTGAAGACTTTTGATCCTAGAAGTTGGCCAGTGGACGTGTGACAGGTGGCCGCCTTGTCCCCAGCCAGGACATGCATTTGCAAGCGTAGGGCCAAGTGACAGGAAACTCACCATCAGCTCTGAGAGTGCGCACTGACTGGTCCAAAGCTGGTCATCATCACATTAGTAATTTAACAACTTGTCAGTATCGAAACACTTGCCAGTATCGATCACAGAGCATTACTTGGTTTTTTGTTTTTGTTTTTATTACCTGCTTTTAATTTGTAACGAATTTTGCTATACATTCTCAACAAGAGGCATACCTGGCTCCTTGTAAAACACGCTCACAATAATAAGTAATAAGAAAATAAGCACTCACTGACCACACATATGTTCTTGTTTTGTATGTTTCAGTTTTTAAATCTTAGCACAGGACATTCAAGACCGCATTGTATATGCATCTTATAAACGGCTTGTGGTCAACTAAAGATTGTTACTCTAAAGGTTTTAACAACACTGTAATGCCAAAATGACTTCGCTTTGGAAGGTTTTAAACTGAAGTGAAAGTACACACTTCAAAATGTAGGATCTTGCTTGCTTCACGCACTACGTACACAGTGCTGTTCGCACTTTGATAGCATCTCAAGGCTTGACCTTTTGATCAGTTTCGGCTGCTGTGAGGCAGATGTGCAGTGTGTAACCGAGGCAAGACAGCGCTTCCCAGAGTGGACATTAGTTAGGGCATGCTTGCCTAGCTGATACACTTCCAAGCATGATGTTAGTTGAATGCTTTTTCTGAACATGGAGAACATTACCTTCTTCTTGAGGGACTGTTCCATTTCTTGTATGTGCAGGCTGCTGGTGACAGACGCCTTGCCATACTCCTGTTTTCTGATGAGTCTGTTTTTCCAATCTTCTTCCCCACTCTTCTTCAACAGCGCTAACCTGGGGGGAAAACAGGCCAACCAAAAGGGGTTCAGCACTAAACTCTACCTTGTAACAGAAGCATAGTTTGGGTAAGTTAGTCTTTGGCCAAAACATGACCACAGCTACCTACTTTCAATCTTTTTGAGTTTCATTTATTCTGAACAAAGTCCTGTCTGGAAAATTAATACAAGTATCCCCTTTTCTAAGATGTCCCTTCCCCCAAATCTTAGCATCAACATTCCACCAGAGGAATTACCTTTGTTTTTTTCTTGCCCTTGGGCTGAGAACAAGGAGATGAAGGTAAACCATCCCCAGAGAAAAATGTTTTCTAGTGACCCCTTCTGGTCACTTTGTGGAATAACATTTAACAGCTACAGCAGGATGGACAGTACTCCTTTGCAGAAAATTTAGCCGAAATGGCTTTAAAAACCTAAAGCTATAAAGAACTGACAATCACTTCATATATTTCAAGAAAAGGCAAAAGAAGATGTTTAATATTTTCATCTCTCTGTACTCTAAGCCCTGTTCTTTTCCTCCAAAGGTACTTGGTCTCTCCAATCTATCTTAATATGGAAACTATTCTCTACAAACCTGTTTTAAATGTTTTAAAATGACTCCAACTTTCCTCCTGGGGGAAAGCCACATACAAAAAAAGAATCTAATTAATTGGGGTTTTTTACCTAACCTACTTTAGCTCAATCTGATGTGACCTGGTACCAAGCTACCTAGATGCTATAGCCTGGGAAAAGGCTGTTTCTGTGAGCATAAGGTTTCTCCAGCTTGCTCTCCTATGATGAATGAAGCCATCTCAGGCACTGAAGTTGGCCAGACATAGGAAAGATGAAAGGAAAAAAAGTGAAATGAGTAAATGAGTAAACTCATTTCAGCTGCTGTTCAAACAATGTAAAGATTGGGGGGAAAAGGCATTAGACGGCCCCTGCCGTTCTTCTCTGCCGAGCCTGCTACAGCCTAGTGCATGTCCATAAACGGCATACTTGAAAGCAGCACATCAGCTCTAGCCTGGCCGTGAACTCTGGCCCAGCAGCCTGGCATCCTTGTTGGTAATTCTGGGAACTGGACTCAATGGTCTCTTAGGTCCCTTCTACTCAACTTCCTGACTCCGCTAATGAAAGTTTTCCTATGCAAATAAGAAAAACAAATTTTGCAGTACTTAAATAAGAATCTACTTCCATCTAAAAATTTGTACATAATCATACCTTGTCTATTCATTCAAAGAATGGAAAGTAAGCACGAAGAAAAGGAGTCCCCTAAAAGGGAAGGAGCTTCAAGCTCTGGACCTATCCCCTTCTCCTCCTTTTCCTTTCTGCTGTGTTACAGCACATAAGACCTCACATGACCATTCTATAAAACTGATACAATGCCACCTTATTGTGATATTGTGATTTACAATAAGAAATTTGTTCTTGGATTTCATCACCCTTCTGGGCCTAGAGCTGCTAAACTCCTTGAAATTTCCCAAGTGATGAGAATGACAGAGGTGTCTTTATATTAATCGAGTGACCTTAGGGAAGCCCTTAAGGATGGGGACTGGTGGCCAGGAGAAACAATCATGTGGTATGTGATTAGAGGAGTGGGACTTATAGTCCTATTCCCTGACTTCTGCAGAGGGCAGAGTGGCTGGTGGTTGAATCAGTCACCAATGGCCAATGATCCAATCAACCACGCCTATGGAATGAGGTCTCCATAAATACCCAAAAGGATGGGACTCAGAGAGGATTGGAAGCTCAACGCCCTTTCTCTCTACCTTACCCTATGCATCTCTTCCGTCCAGCTATTCCTGTGTTATAACCTTCTATAAGAAGGTTGAGATCTAGTAAGGATGCTCTAGTAAATCAAACCCAAGGAGGGGGGGGGGTCATTGGAACCTCCAATCTGTAGCATATAGGGTCAAAAGTCCAGGAGACAACCTGAACCTTCCTCTAGCATCTGATGTGACAGTGTGTGTTAAGGGGGCATCCTTATGCAACAGAGCCCTTAACCTGTGGCATCTGAAGCCATCTCCAAGTAGACAGTGTCAGAATTTGCTGAATTGCAGGACTCCCAGCTGGGGTCAGAGACATGCTTGGTGGTGGAGGAAAATAACCCACGTTGGCAATTAGAGTCAAAATCCTAAGACAGGCCCCATATGGCTGAAGGTTCCATTTAGCCCTGCATTCTATAGCCTGTGATGTTTGACAGTATTCTGCATGCTACTAGGGCCAGTTCATGCACTTGAAAATAAATGCTCAGTGCCTTTAAGGTGTTTTCATCAGACTACACAATGATTTCTCTTTTCTCTAATTATTCTGAATGAATCAGTTTTATGCCACTAAGAAAAAATAACCAAATAAAATCAGATCATGAAAAAACAACTAGTATTTGCATAGAGCTTTCAAAGTATCTATGTACTTGCACAGAGTATTTCCAAGTATCTACAAGTGAGATTTTAAGAAAGTGAGCATGCCGGTATTTTTACACCCGAATGAAGAAGTACTTCCAACGTGCCATCTCATGAGAGACATTCATCTCCCCGATATTCTCCTTGCAAACTGGTCTCGGGGCCGGCTTCTGTCTCTTACTCCCCCTTTGACACAGACGGTAGTTCTTCATGTTGACCATCTACCTTTTTAATCGGATTTGATCCCAAGTGAGCTGAGAGAATCTAAAAAGTCAAATTCATCCCTATGAGCTGGGCTTATGGGAAATCCTGTGCTACAGTCTTTGAGGACATTCTTGAAACAAAGCTCCTGGGTGTCTGGAGCAATGAAAACATAACCCAAATAACCATACAGTTTCCTTGATGGCTGCCCCGAGTGCACATAAACCTGACTTAGAAAAAACAAACTGTGGACTCTCCAATCACTTTATGGCCCACCTCATGCTCTACTGGTTCCAAAGAAACTGGAGATTATTCCTGAGGCGACAGATGAGGCATGAGTGCACACACAGGCGAAGGATTTCACTGACCAAGGTCACACTGCGTGTCAGGTGGGGAGGGGGGGGCGGTTAGAGGGGAGGGGCAGGGAGATGCCGTGCGCAGGGAGGGGTGCCCTGCCTCCCAGAGCATGGCTTGTCTGCCTCCATTAGTGCATTAGCTAACCAGACCCATTTGCGTCCGAATGTTTTAGAGACTGCATAGTATCCTGGGTTTCTTATAATGTTGGCTTTTTTCTCCCCTGTGATGGCCTTCATTTCAGGCCCCAAACCTGAAATCTTGCTTCTGGATGTGCTGGCAGGGTCTCGTCAGGCACTTCTGAGGACTACAGGGTCAGCAGAATCACGTGGAACAACCAGTGTTTTAACTTAGGCCACACAGTACTTGGACCCTGCCCTGGCTTACTGACTGCCAATGATGGCTAACTTAACGAATGACAGGCACTGAAACTTGTATGCATTATGGATTTCCTACGAAGGCAGGAGACCTTTCCAAACCCCAGTCCTGTGATTCCACGACCCACTGGTGGGGGCCGAGGAGCAAAAGGTCTGCTCCCACACACGACTATGCAATTCAAACAACTGTCAGCGCTTTTCACATCCGCCAAGTCTGAGCGCTATTTGCAGGGCTGTGATGCTGACAGCCTGGGCATCTGCTTGGTCTGAGGCGGGGAGCCCTGTGAGTGGCACTGGGTTAGCCTATTAACCCCAAGGCCTGGCTGGGGGCCACAGGCGCTGTGTGCTTCCAAGGCCGCCCAGGGAAATAAATGTCTGCCTCTCTCGCCAAGGCCCACACTTTCTCAGCAGGGAATGCTGGCCTGACAGGCCTGTGCTCAGCCCAGTATAAGAGGCCAGTCTGATTAGAACGGGTTTTGCAGGCTCCCTGCCGTTGGGGCTGGGTCAAATGTGGAACAGGCAAACCTTGTGCCCCTAATCTTAAGTCTGTTTTTTTTTTTCCTTCCCCCTTTGAATCACCGGCACCCCACAGATTTCAGATAGAAAAGACCAGCACAAATCAGTACTCCTATCAGATCTTGGTCTTGGCTGGTTTGCAGGCTGTTGGAGTGAGCTCCTGTGTCTTTTAAATGAGGACACATCAAAGATCAGAGAAGACTCCTGGGGCCTGAATTCTTACGTAAATCTGGGGGCCCTCTGGTGGCTGAAATCTTGAAATCTTGAGCAAGAGCCTCCAGTCCCTGTGGGGGAAGCATGGACACAGGCTGGTGGGGCAGGAGTTGGGGGAAAGCAGGAGAATGGAGGGGGGAACGCAGGGACCAGAGCGGGCCTCTGCAGGGCAGACTGCTAGGCTGGTGAGGGCCAAGGGGAACATTCTTTGCCACTCTGGGAGTTCACCTAAGCCCTCACACTCCACCAGTTTCCCAGTGAGAGGATGGCTTTGTTGCCTTGTTTAGGAATCTTCTCCTGAATCCGAAAGCACAGCTACAGTTGCTTTGGTAACTGTGGATAAGGTTCCTAATAGCCTAGTATACTTCTAAAGAGGTCTCAAGGGTCTTACCCCTAAAGAATACACAATTTATTTGACTTAGAATAAGAAGTACCCGAACAGGGCCAATTTAAACCCAAATCATTTAGGCAGTTATGAAACAGTTGATTTTACTAATCCAGTGCAAAAAGCCAATGGGTAGCCTGAGTGGTGCTAGTTATGGTTCAAACTTGACATTGAGGACATCAGAAAAGAGGAAGAAAGAAAAGGAGCCTTTAGGGACATCTCCTTGAACGGCCAGCTTCCCCCAGAAGAGGAGCATACTGAGGCTTTCCTGTGATTTCTTAGTTGTTACACTCTTCCAAGTCCCAGTTATCAGAGTACAAAACAGGGACAGCATTGCCTCCCTTTAAGGGCTGCCTTCAGTACTAAGTGAGGTAGTCCATAAGAAATTCCAAGGGAAGGAGATGACCACTGGTGTCCTTCAGAATGAAGGACTCAACAGGCCCACCTCCCAAGCAGGAAAGAGACGGATGCACAAGGCTGAGGAAGTGAAAGCTGCAGCTTTCTAAAAACAATGAAGGAAATCTGCGAAGTCCAGTCTCTACCTCTTACTAAGAGTCAGATGTGAACGTAGAATTGGAAATAAGCCATGCAAAGAACACGTGAATTGAGAAAATCCATTCAGGAGGAGGCGAATCTTTTTCCCACCCCTGTCTCACTGACATTTCAGTCCTCTGTTCAGTTTCCTAGTTGGAACACAGGTGAGCGGCTAACCCAGCAGCGTGAGCATACGACAATCTCACCCCAGCTACCCAGGGGAGGTCGGAGGCCAGCCCCTGGGGTCGGTCCCATTGCCCCCGTTGGGCCTTAGTGGCCCTTGGAACCGAACTCCTACTTTGGTGAAACGAGGCAATCAGAAGTTAAAATAAAGTTTGAAAGTTCCACGTGATATGTTACATCACAAAAGGAAAAAAAAAGGCCAAATAATATACAAAGAGCATTCTTATTTTAAATAGGTCAAACTTCATTCTTTCTTTCTGAACAGAAGGGAGGGATCAGAGCCCTGTTTCAGGAAAAACCACCACAGATGGACTGTAAAGATAACACAGTTTGTGTTTTCAGCAAAGTACAAATAAAAATACTATCAACATAACGGGGGAAAGATCACTGGTGATATATTTTCTAAGAGAAGTGTCTCTCAACCTTTATTAGCAGCTAAGCTCGTCGTAAATTATGCTAATAGAAAATATACCAAATTTACCATAAACAGGCAGGTAAACCAAGAATTACTGCAGTGGAGAGACACAAAACTTCTTCCTCGAAAGTCCAAAGTCCCAACAGACAGATTATACCCAAAGATGGGGATTCTCCTTTAAGAGCCTGTGAAAGAAGGGGGCATACTGGTATCTTTCACTGAAATTTTACCCCAGGAATATTTTCCGATGTATGAAACACCTGAACTTGTGTGTAAGTGGTATTTGTCATTAATTCCCTTAAATGATGTCTCTTCCTTCTCATCCAACCGATTATGAGGAGTAGGATCTCTGGGATCAAATTCTCCCTGGGCCAGGTTTTGGTAGAGAAGGAATTCACACCAGCATGGGCCAGTGTCTCTGATTCAAGACCTCACTCCCATTTAGCTGATGGGGTATTATCTTCCCCTTCATCTAAACCCCAGTCCAGCAGTCTCATCTACTGTGAATTTGAAACAAGTGAAGGCAAAAGTACGTAAGATTTAACAACCTTACTAATCTGTCGGTTGAGAAAGTCCCCGTCTATCTAACCTTTTTTTTTTTTAAGAGTTTATTTATTTATTTGACAGACAGAGATCACAAGCAGGTAGAGAAGCAGGCAGAGAGAGGAAGGGAAGCAGGCTTCCCGCTGCGCAGAGAGCCCGACGCGGGGCTCGATCCCAGGACCCTGGAATCACGACCCGAGCCGAAGGCAGCGGCTCAAGCCACTGAGCCACCCAGGCGCCCCTCTAACCTTTTTAAGCATGGGGCTCAAAAAACTTGGACTTGAAAAGCAGAATGAGGAATTTTGATTGTGGTTTGATATATAGTCTTAGGCAGTGCAAAATGTATCCAGACAAATCAGAGTGGCTGCTGTCTGGCAGAGGAAGAAAGCTTCCAAATGGCAGGAGGTGTGAAGGAAGGGTGCCGGCCAGCAGAGCGGATGGCAGACACAGCTGTGCTGGTCACCCTGGAAAAGTATAGAGATCTTTCTGCATCTAGTCTTTTTATTGCTATGACATCTTTTGCTGTTTAATTCTACAGTGGCTAAAGGCTAAAGGCTAACAAGGAAAACACAGCCTGAAATATTTAGCCCTGGTTCCTTGTCCCTGTCCCATTTAAATATACCCTCTCAATCCTCCATTCGATTTTTGGAAATGAGGTTACAGTGTTACTGGATATTCCAATGTAATCTTTCACAGCTATTACCTGATATAAAAATTCTAAACAAGAGTCCTCCGTTTCCCTTTCTGTAGGATAAATAAAACTTGGGTTCCAATCCCAAAGACATCTGTCCCAAATATGATTTATCCTCATTCCATCTACATACACTTTACATAGACAGTCATGAAGGCTTAAGTGCATTCAATTTGAAGCCACATGTCTGATGGGGAAAGAGCCAAGATCACTGCTCCCATCATGGGACAGTGCAAGAATTTCATAGGAAAAAGAGAAAATGGAACCCCAAACAAATAAGCACAAGTCAGCATCCGCTCGTGCCCGTACCTGAGTCCAAAACTGGCACTCCTCCAGCGTCACCGCCCCCTGTGTGCTCATGACGTCATCTCTGCCCATCACTCGGAGCTTTTCCTACCAGCAACATGTAAGCTCCACCCCCAGGAGAATTACTCTGCCATCATTCAATCACGTTACCTCTCTTTAATGGACATGGTTTTGCCAGCTGAATCGAGGATGCCCTCCACCACAGGCACTTTGATCTCTCCGGCAGCGAACATCGCACACGGACTCCTGGAGTATTTCTCCTGTCCTGGCTCTGCAGGATCTTGCTGCCTCCAGGACACGGGGGCTGCGGTGGGGGCCACAGTCTTCCCGGTAGCCAGACCCGTCTGCTCAGAAGGGGGCTCCCCGAACTCTGCAGCTGGGAAGAGAGGAGCCACGTCAGCATTCCCTCCTCCAGGCAGACATTCCTCCAGCTATCTACCCCAAGCGGCCCCACATGTGGAGTGCTATCTGGGGGCGTGGGGGGTGTCACCCAATCTGCATGGATTCACGCCAATCTGTAGCACGCCATCCTCTGTGAGGAAACCAATCTGCCCAGGAGGTTTTGTGACAACTGGTCTTTTCCTGTGTGCAAGACACAGGAAGAGAGCTTTCACTACACACTACGGAATGCTTCCTCTCCTCCAAAACAATCCTTTTCACATTGCCAGTGCCGGAATCACATGCTAAAACCACCAACATAACTTACACGCCATCATTTTCTATAAATGCAGAAGGAGAATGAAAGCCCCAAGTAGCAGAGCTTACCAGTCTGCGTACCAGGACCATGGAAGGAGTCTGGAAATCCACAGTCCTGGGTTCAAGTCCTCATTCCCTGTGCTTAACACAGCCCTTTGGGGTCACCAAGTCACAAAAGGGGCCAACAGGGCTAGCATTTCACAAGACTTATGTGAGTGAATCCTCGTGTGCGAGAGCTCTGGCATTCCTATTGTTGGAAACTGATCAATCCACTGAACAGGTCAGATTCAAGGGGAAGAGAAGTCTAGAGAAGAGTGGGATTCACTTGTGATTTGTAATCAATACGAGTTATAAACCGTCCTCCTACTTTAATTAAAAATAATCACAGACACACACAACCAATCAAGCCAATACCAAAAACCCAGGTGGTCTCTAAAACTTCCGGAGCAGTAACTTACCTCTTAGTGAAAACTTCCTTCTTGGGACATTCTCCATGTCGACCTTCTCTTCAAAGGGCTGCCTGTCCTTCAAGTCTGGGCTCCCCTGTGCGAGGCTTTTACCCATGGAGAATTCCTTCAGCTCGTCACCAAGGTGGGCGACGGGAGGATGGCCTAGTTCCAGGCTGCCCTTTCTCGGAACGGCATATTTGGGTTCCTTATGGCTGTCTCCTTCCCGGACTCTGTTAAAGGTGGGGCAGGATGGCTCTGCTTCCTCGAAGGACCCGTACTTTTTACCACCATCTCCACCTGTCAAAACTCTCTTGCTTTCGGCCTCTCCAAACTCTCTCAACATTCCTCTGCTCCCACTACTCTCTGCTGAAGGCTGCCAGGCTTGGGACTTCAGGATGCTTCTAACTGGAGAATCTGAATTTTCTATCGAAGAAGGAAACTTATAGTCAGTGGCACTCGTGTTGTCGTCCACAGACAGCTTTGTCCGAAGATCCCCTGCGTACATCGGTGTGACCGTAGATGCCACAGTGGACACAGAGGTGTTAACAGTCGGTGAGAAAGGAATGAGCTTTCCACTTTGCACCTGGAAGGACATAGTTAAAGTGCAAAAAAGCGGATTCAAAAATACTATCTATATGAATCTCAGTTTAGGGACTGACATAGAATGAACGACTACATTGGGGGTAGTTTCACGGCTTGTCTTAGCAGGAAGATGTATTTTCTTTTTTTTTTTAATATTTTATTTATTTATTTGACAGAGAGAGACCACAAGCAGGCAGAGAGGCAGGCAGAGAGAGAGGGAGGAAGCAGGCTCCCTGCTAAGTAGAGAGCCTGATGCGGGGCTCGATCCCAGGACCCTGAGATCATGACCTGAGCCGAAGGCAGAGGCTTTAACCCCCTGAGCCACCCAGGCGCCCCAGGAAGATGTATTTTCTTAATCAAAATTAATCATTAATCAAAATTATCTGGGTGAACAGCAGATTTCTCATCCTATTCTTTTCTCCATAATGGATTCATTCCAGATGATTTCGGCAAGCAAATCATGAAAAGAAAAAGGTACTCGGCGTGGCTATCTTTCTGAGGAAAGAAGTTATTACCAGACTCCCGACAGGTCATACAGTTTATCAACTTAATTCCATCTAGGAGCCAACAGCACGATCCTGCATTTTAAGAACATTCCCACACACTGGATTAGACTTACAGTGTACCCACCTGTTCCACCTCCCCAAGCGTGACCGGCTGAGTCTGATAGCGAGCGCTCATTCTCCTCTGTCTCATGTCTATTCTGTTTCGGGTAGAAATAGCTTTTGAGACCGGCTGAGACAATTTGTTAAACAAGGCCAACTTCTCTGCTAAGCTTAGAGTGGAGGAGTCAGGTTCACCTTGTTCAGCAGAATCTTTGCCCTCATTTGCCTGGTCTCTGGCTAAAGCTTTGTGGTGAGCAGATGCCTGTAATCTGAAAAGGATAAACATTAAAAAAAAAAAAAAATCAGTGACAGAGATCAACACAGACAAAAAGCCCACTGCCAAATTTTGAATATTAACTCTCTTCCAAGTGTCACTTAATTTTCAAAGGGACTGATTTCTCCCTACAGAAGCTGAAGACAGGGGTAGGCACTGTTTAGCTATTAACAAGCCCGTGAATAGCAGAGACTGTTACCAATGTCATGAAGGCAGAACTTTCTCTCTAAATTATTTCTAAAAAGTGAATTTCCTCTTTAAGAGACCGAAGTCAGCTTGGATATACCTTACCTTAGAGAGATGGTATATCAGCGCTATCAACAACAAATAAGGCTGAAAGAGAATCCCAAGGCATTATCTATGGCATGTCTAGACACTAACTAAATATGTGGTTCGGGGGTGCCTTGGTGGCTTAGTCGGCTGAGCATCCGACTCTTGGTTTCGGCTCAGGTCATGACCTCAGGATGGTGAGATCGAGCCTTGTGTCAGGATCCGCACTCAGCCCAGAGTCTGCCTGAGACTCTTTTTCTCCGTCTCCCTCTGTCTCCTCCCCTATACCCTGTTCTCTCTCACCCTCTCAAATAATTAAATAAATCTTTTTTAAAAAATAAACATGTAGTTCAGACGTATTCTTTTCTTTTTATAGGACTAGGAAATAATCCAGTCACTCTGTCAATAACATATCTGGAACAAGGAGTTTCGATTTTCACTTACTAAACACAAATAGATCGATTTTAAAGATTCCTTCGCTCCTTCAGTGCATCATTTTCTCTCATAGCTTCCTACCACTTTTCTGAAAGGTACAGAGATCTGCAACTCCCAGCAACTTGAAAAAGGGCATTTCAGGTGCTGCGAAATCCCTCCAGCTTCTGGGTGGGGGAGAAGGCCTCCTATTACCTGGTCGCGGTGGATTTTGGAAGGTTTATGACAACGTAGGTTGAGGCCACCGGCAAATCCAGTTCTCAAACCCACTGGACAGCATATTCTGTCTGAACACCAGTGAATCACCAGTTCACAAGTTGCCCCAGACTAAGGAGCAGGAGACCCCTGCCTCTGGGTGGGGCCAGACCTATTTCTGCACTGCCGTCTGACTTCTTTAAACTTATTTTTGGCCCTTGTGTTTTGGTCCCTCACAGCAAAACAGGGGACACCTATGTGCCATAAGGACATACTTCCAAAACACAATTCAAAGCTTAGTAGTAAAACATCTAAGCTCAGACTCCATAGATAATTATTGTCTCAATCCCAAAAAGTCATGACCTTGTCTCTCTGTACATTAGAAAGAGATACAGTTGTTTCTAGCGTGTATTCATGACTATAAGTGTTTACAAAAACCAGGGTATTACTAGAATTTCAACATTCATGTCGAGTCCTCATTTTCGTATTAACCTTTATTAAGTGCTAGTAATTTAGATGGAGGATGAAATTTCTTAAAGAAGACCGTGATTATGAAAAACAGAAACAAAACAAATGGATGAGTGAGTTAGTGTGATCCTAGTTCCAATACATGATGTAAGCAGGGAGATGAAAGGTTTCCTCATGCAGGCCTACAGGAAGTTAGCAGCGTTTCGCACTACAACAAAACAAAATGGCGCCCATCCCCAAAGGCAACTCCTTGCATTGACTCGTTTCTCAAACACATGAAAGACATTCAGGATAATGAGATGCATCTGCTGTCTAGGACCTTTGGCCTGAGGGCCGCATGCAGCTACTTCCGTCCAGTACCTGGCAGGCTGCACAGTGCTCTTAGCTACACTGGGACTAGGAAGTCTCGCCATTACAGGCTGGGTGGCCCCAGAGCACGAAGCAGGGATAGGTTCACTTTAAAGGCAATTGCCAAAGAAGGAACATTCATGAGGAGAGAGAAGAAAAGAAGCGTTAAAGGAAAACATAGTTTTAAATTTCAGAAACCGTAAATATTTTAACAAAATTATTTATAAGTACTCTGGGGGAAATTACCAAAGAACTTGAAAAGCAATTACAAACTGAGGAACTAAGAGACAGAGATGACGCAAAGTAAATGGAGTAAGATTAGGTTTTTAAAGCTTGGAAAGGATTTACTCTGACTTCAGAATAAATGTCCGGATTTTTTAAAATAACTTAAGAAAAAGCTAATATCAGCCACCGGCAAATCAGTAGATTACGCTCATGTCTTAGAATGTTGTTCTCAGCCAATTTTGTGGAAAATCAGTATCCTCCTATAACCTACACACACATCAAAGTAGCTTCAGGGAGCCTTACAAGGTGATAATTTTTGTTTACATTTACTCTTTTGCTCCCATGAGTAGTTGCTTCTTGTTAAACAACAGCTCCTCAAACATTAAAAAACAAAAGAACTAGGACACCTGAGTGGCTCAGTCACTAAGTGTCTGCCTTTGGCTCAGGTCATGATCCCAGGGTCCTGGGATCAAGCCCCGCATCGAGTCCCGCATGGAGCTCCCTGCTCGGCGGGAAGCCTGCTTCTCGCTCTCCCACTCTCCCTGCTTGTGTTCCCTCTCTCGCTGTGTCTCTCTCTGTCAAATAAAATAAATCTTTTTTAAAAAAATTTTTTAATTTTAAAATTTAAAAAAATAAGAAAAAATAAAAAACCAAAAGAGCTGATCTGCTCAGAGTTCCTAATGAACACAAGAAGTGCCCCTCCACAGACACACCAGGAGCTGAGGAACAGCTGGGTAAGGACATGAGCAGCTGCTCTAACAGCAGGCCCAAAGGTGTGGGCTGCAACACAGACGCCTCTTGGGGTGCCCATGCCCTGAATGAGATGAACACACTTTCTCCAGGAAGGCTGCGTGTGGGTCTGGGGTGGAAGCATGAAAACCATTTCTAAAAACCCAATAAAAGTTTTCACTTGATTGAAGCAATTATCTCTGAATGAATTAGTTTGGGAAATTCATTCTGAACATATTGGAGTTGACTGCTCAAGTACTGGAAAGTCCTCAAATTTCCAAGGAATTGTTTACAGTTTTTTGATGTCTATTTAAAAACAAATTAAAAAAAAAAAAACAACCCTCCAACCCCTTATCTTTTTGAGACAGCTGCTAAAATGATATCTGGGGTTTGCCTGAAAATGAGGCAGGAGGACAGGTGAAGTGGATGGGGTTTTGGGAGAGCAAGACTGGCCGGGCTGCTGACTGTTGAAACTCGGTGGTCAGTACACTCGGGCTCATTATGTTAATCTCATGGTTTAAATTTTCCACTGTGAAAAAGATTAAGAGAAAGGCACAGACCAAAAAAATTAAAATTCGTCTTGAGGTTTTTCTAGGAGATACAACAGGCAACACACCCTGTTACAAAGTTCAGAGACACCACAGGAAGAAAAATCCCGGAGTGTGAACATCTCTGTGGAGTCTAACCGAACCATCTTCTGATTGCTTCATTTTTCCTTAAAAGTCTTTAAATCTTTTTCTTTCTCTCTCTCTCTTTTTTTTTTCCCCAAGAAAACTTTTCAGCCAAGGCCCAGAGGTCAGGAGGGGGGACTTACGTGGCTGCAATGGCCACCTCCTCGGTGGTAACGGGCTGGGTGTGGGATCGGTCCTGGAGCCGCCGCAGCCTTTGCTCCACGGCCGCGTTTCTGGAGCGTCGCTTAGGAACGTTTTTCTCATCAAATGATTTTTCCATTTCCTGAGATCAGAAACGATGTGGAATCCTTATATGTCTGTGGAAAGGGCACTGGGGCTGCAGGGTCTCTGCTCTGTTTCCTGACAGGGCCCCCCAGGAGGGACCCCCTGTGAGGCAGGTGTCATTCAGGAGAGTGCACCTGTGCAGTGTCAGGAGGTGGGGGGGGTGTGGGGGCGGGGGTAGGGAGGTCTCACCAGCCAGGGGCTGAGAGGCACGTGGGCCAGGCCAGGCGGGCCGGAGGGCCCCGTGCAGGGAGCATGGGACGGTTTCACTTCAGGCACCTCAGTACACCTTACCCTGAAAAGCAGCCTCTTGGCAGCGACACTCAGCTTGGCTCGTTCGTCTACCTTCTCTTCATCTGTAAGAGGCCACAAAATAAAAACTGAACATTATCAGAAAAATGTAGGTGAAGTCTCTGAAAACTTTCCCAAGCCTGACCCTGGAAATCCTTTGAATGTAAGAATGGATGTACCAAAGATTATAATTGGCAATATTTTCCCCCTGGAGGGATCCCATTCTTCTGCTCAGTGAAAAGGTGCTAATTTCCTTTGCAATTAACCAGACAAAACTCGGTCTGGACAGGAAATCTCTATGACAATATTTGAACAATTAACGTTTAAGAATAGATTTTATGAAAGGAATTCTTTATTGTTACATAGTGACAAGAAATTAACAACAAAAAGCTGCTGCTTTAGCAAATCAGTTATTTCAGTATTATTCATTCCACAGTTCTAACTCTCTTAAAAATAAGGAAAAGCTCACCCGAGAATCTCAACTAGGTTTTATTAGAGTCACAGAGAGAAAACCTGCAGCAAAGAAATCAGTAGACTCCAAAATTTCATCCTCTCAAAAAAGCAGAATCTTACAGAAACCTCATCTGGGTGAGATGACAGAGAAGCGACAAAAGGAAAACAGATACTTGCCCTCCGCGGCCAGCATTTCTGAATGCGAAGCAGACCTAGGAAAGACATTAGGCAAATAATAATAACCAAAAATTAGCTGGTGGGAATAGAAGATCCAAATAAAACATCAGATGAAAAGTTAAAGCAAAAGTAAAAATTCAATCGAACTCTCTTAAAGAATATCATCCTGCTAGCAATCCTCGTTGTGAATACACAGATACAGGTGTTAACGGACACAGTGCAGTGTGTGTGCACACAACCCAGCCAGGTGCACACCTCGTGGAGATAAATCAGAACCGAGTGGGACTCATTAAACACGACTGGTCAGTTTGTACGCAAACCTCATCCTCTCTACGTATAAGCTATAGGACCGTGTAAAACTCAGATATGACAAGTAGACAGACATTTAGAAAGTGAGTGTAAAATCCCTAGTTCTTTGCACAGGAAAATCTGGGGAATACTCACTGTGGTTTCTAATTTAACGAGGGCATAAGAAATGAAAAACAGTCAACGGAGAAAAATAACGTGTCTCACTTCTTACCGTCTGAACACAACGTAAAACTGTACTGCGATACTGTTGCCACGGGCAGCATTCTTTAAAAATACATATAGGGGGCACCTGGGTGGCTCAGAGGGTTAAGCCTCTGCCTTCGGCTCAGGTCATGATCTCAGGGTCCTGAGATCGAGCCCCACATCGGGCTCTCTGCTCAGCAGGGAGCCTGCTTCCCCCTCTCTCTGCCTGCCTCTCTGCCTGCTTGTGATCTCTCTCTCTCTCTCTCTCTCTCTGTCAAATAAATAAAATCTTAAAAAAAAAAATAAAAATACATATATACAAGCCACATAAATATCCCTTATAGATTAGATGGAGGAACAATGGAATCACCACAACCCATTTTAAACATCGCCAGGACTGTCCCTGCGGGCAGATCCCGTTCGATGGCTTTTACGCTCCTGGACTACAGAACTACACATCACGCGTGCCTACCTATCTGATTCCTTTCGTTCGGCTGAGGTTATAGGTTGAGTTCTAAATCTCTCCGAAGTTTTTCTACTTTCACCAGGAGAAAAATAGCGTCTTGGTTTCCGGGACCCTCTTTCCCGTTCCACACCGGTAGGCAAGCCAACGCCCTCGGTTGACCTCTCCACCCGGGGTTGGCTTTTAGAATCATTGGGAGGGAGTGCACAGAAGGGCAACGAGAGACAGAGAGAGAGAATAAAGCAAAGGTTTATGCATCTCAGTGAGGCAAGGCTCAGACACCGCCAAATCCCGCCACATGCCCCGACCATGCACTAGAAGGAGGGGGAGCAGTCCAGCGACCCAGTACTGTAGCTCCCTATTAGTAGGCAGAAGCAGAATGGTAGTTTTCAAGCCATTTCCTGTACGGTCTGCCCTGCACCCTGGTGAGCTAAGCTAATAGGACCCAATGCGGGACACACCGCAAGTGGCAAAGTGAATAATTCTGCCAAGGGCGTGCAAGTGACACATCGGGAGGGCGTGTGAAACATCACCTACAGTTCAGGTTTCTTGCTGGCATGGACAGACTCCAGAAACGCATTTCGGAGCTGGGCGACAGAGACCTTCGTGTCCAGCACGCCGACTTCCGGGGGGGGCCCTTCAGCTTTGGAACTCTGTGGCTCCGGTTCTTGCCTGAACGTGGAGTCCTTATCCTTCAGGGCCTGCAGCTGAGGGGGGCCCGTGTAGTCAGACAGGGAGCGGGTGAGGACCTTGCGTTTCTTCACCAAGGCTTCCTGTCTCTGGCCTGTCGCCCTGGCATCTTGTGACACGGGCTGGCTCTGAACGTACAAGACCATCTCGTGTCTGCTTATCCTCTCAGCGGGCGGTTGCTGAGCGGGAGGCGGGTGTGACAGGCTCTCTGGTTCCTTCTGATGTTCTGAGGGCACTGGGCTCCCAGCAGGCTTGCCGACGTCATCGTTTCCAGAGGGGTCTTCGTGGCTTCGCGTAAGCCCATGGTCCTCCAACGCCAAAAGTGATTTCCTGCTTTTCTCGAGAGCTTCGGTGAAGAGCATATCTTCCTCTGCTTTCGATTCACAAATATGGAGAACTGGGGTATCCCTTCTCTCGCTTTCTAGAACCTTCAAGGTGGGAGGCTTTCTGACATTCTGGGTGGCGGACCCCCCCCCAGCTGCATTCAGACACGTTTTCTGGGATCTCTGAGGTCACCAGCGTGGCCATGTGAATGGGGTCCGCCGACTGGACGTAGCCTCGGATCGGCTGTCCCGCGGAGCTGGCTGCCTTGCCCAAGACCCTATCAAAGGCCGAATTTTCTGACTGAAAGGACGAGCAATGGATGGGCACTGGCTGATGTCTCCTCTGAGTGAAGGGCTCGGAGGCCACCTCAGGGCTGCTGCGAGCACTCTCCTCTTTCACCATTTTTTCTCTAACCTTAACTCTTTAAGAAAGAAAAAGGATTTAAGTTGCAAAATGCAGTAACCGCTTCATGGGGAGAAAGCATGCGTGGATCCCAGACTACCCGTGAGTGGAAATCCACCCAAAGGCAGAACCCGGTGACAATGCATTTCTGGTGGTTCACGTCAGAAACTCACTGCCAGCCGGGTGAAGGATTTCGAGCTTCCAGATGGGAGTACGCCAGTGTGGCAACAAACTCACTCTGCCCTCCGTAAAGCTGAGACAGCTCAGATGCCGTCCTGGGGGAGAATGGCTGCCTTCTGACTAAACGAATGACCAGAAGCCACAGAAAAATCCATTAATATACACCACCAGTATGCATGAGGGCACATCGAGGCTGTTGGTGGGAATCTGTGAACACTACACATACAGGCCCGGTGTGTGGACTCTGGGCGGGGGTAGTTTCCAAGTATACACACACCTATGGACCAAATGCAATAATTTCACTGTCTCCTGGAAATATAAGAACATTTGTGATTTTTTAAAATTTTTTAAATGGAGCTCAAGACACAACACACAATCACCCCTTTCAAGCACTCAGCTAAACATTCCCAAGCGTTTTCATGCAATGCAGACTGTATCCATTCATTCCTAAGACATGTGACCAGTTTGGACATCATTACGACTAAGCATTGTAGCACCAAGAAGACTGATAGAGAAAAGATATTTGTTGAGAGAACAGACTAAACGTTTTCTTCCCTTCGGAATTGCTAGTAGGCCCTTAGCTAAAAACTAAAGTGAAAAGAGATTGCTGTCATTTCTGGACCTATTTAAATAGCTGAGAGCTAAAGTGAAATCCAGTTGAAAAGCTACTCTACTGCTTACTCTACTGCTTACTCTACTGCTGCAGAAGCCAAGTAGCCAAGAGCTCTGGCTGGGGCACCTAGGGGACCTTGGTTCAAAACTGGCTCAGCCAGTTCTAGCTGTGTGGTCTGAGGCAACTTACCTGGCTCAGTTCTTTGCTTTTAAATGGAAATCCTAGTGACAAAATGTAATGTGATGTTGGCAAAGCACTTGGATGGCTTAGTACTAAGTACTCTTAGCGAAGAGTAACCATTTAATAGTGTTAGCTAGTACTTATCTCTGCTTTCTGAAATGCCACATAGTGAGAAAGGAGAAACCACTGAAGCTGTTCAAGAATGGATTATTAATTGGCAATAATCCTTAGAAAGTAAAACACATTTTTGGAGTGGGAAAAGTGATTTCTTGGGGGACTATAAACACTCATGTACTGAAGATCAGTCAGCAAAAATACTTATTTATACCTTTGGAAGAGAATATTTCCTTAAATGACAAATGCACCCTGCTAAATTTGATATCGACTCCTACGTGTATTTCAACAACAGATGCAGGATATCTACATATATTTCGTTAACAAAAAATTAAACACACACAAAAGGCAGTTACCATGAATAATCCAGGAGGGGGGGAAAAAAGCATTTTAAGTTATTTTTTTTCCCAGAGACTAGCCAGTGTTGGAGGTTTTCATATTTATAAGCTTTGTTAATCAAAAGAAGACTGAAATGTGGTTCAAGTTCTCCTATGGAATGTGTCCTTCTAATCAGAGACAATCTGAATGTTGTCTCCGCTGAGAACAAAGTGACTGTTAGAAACTCAGTATATGGGTGCTTTGTCCTGCCAGAAACTTATTCATTCTCCCTCCTTCCGCCTCTCCCTGCCCCCAACCTTAAAAATGAAATGATAGGGGGGTTTTTGTCTGCCTTTAAAAGCACATGCCCTAAGGGCAGCTGATAAAAATTAACTATTGGTTTAGAGACAAGGAGACGTGAAAAGGAGGAGGCTGGAAGCGCTTGCCCAGATGGGACACTCCCTGGTTAGTTAGTGAGACTCAAGAGGAGAGAAACCAGGAGGAGCCTCACTACTGCCCCCACTTGGCGGTATGCAGGTTGGTGAGAAAGGAGAAAAGAAGTGTCATCAAGAAGATTTTCAAAGAGGAAAAAACGAGGAGAGGGAAATACGATTAGCAGGGATTAGGGCAATGGGAGGAGAAAAGCAAAGGTTCAGAAAGAAACTTCCAGCAGCCCCTGTGAACACATCATTGTCAAACGCACTGCCATGAACAGAGGGCAAGAAGAGAGTTAGCATTGGGTAATGTGTGGAACAGCAAGGCAAGTCAGCAGGGAAGAAGCACTCACTACGAGGAAGCCAAGAGGTTCAGCTCGGCATATACCTGGAAGGCCAGTTGATAAGAGAAGGTGTGTCCCCTTCGGAATCTTTCTGGAGAAACCACTCATGTTTGGGTTTCCCGGTACTATTGTGTACAAAAGACAAAACTTCAGATAATTTCTACTTGAATGTCAACACAGGTACAGACAATTATAATCTGAAACCCGGAGGCTGATGTCTGTTAAGTCAAGACTAATCCTGGCTTTCAGAAAATGCATAAGCGCATTTTGTCACAGGGCTTACATTCTCATCAGGAAACTCCCAAGGACATGTGGCCCGTTACTAAACTTAAGAGATAGAAATAAATCTATCCAAAGCCACCACATAAAGTGTTTTCCAAGTAACCTGAAAGTATTAGGAGTCTGTTATACTCACACTCTCCCCAAAAATACCAGACAAATTTTCTTGTAAGAAGTTGGATTAAGGGGCGCCTGGGTGGCTCAGTAGTTAAAGCCTCTGCCTTCGGCTCAGGTCAATGATCCCAGGGTCCTGGGATCGAATCCCGCATCGGGCTCTCTGCTCAGCAGGGAGCCTGCCTCCTCCTCCTCCTCTCTCTCTCTGCCTGCCTCTCTGCCTATTTGTGATCTGTCTGTCAAATAAATTAAAAAAAAATCTTTAAAAAAAAAAAAAAGAAGTTGGATTAAATGTCAACTCATCCTCTATTAAGTTTTGTCAAGGGACATTGGTAAATAGCCAAATACAAAGATAGCATCCATGCAAAACAACACATACCAAATAAAGGAAATCAATAAAAAGAAATTCAATGAGATCATATCTTTAATTGCTCTTATATATTTTCCTTTTCCATTTGTCGCTGAATAACGCAACCAACGTAACAATGACATAACCAATACCAATTCACGGCAATTCGATAAATGTTGAGTTCCTACTATGTATTAAACCCTGAACTAGACTCTGAGAAGTAACAAAGGGGACCCGGGCATCACCCCAGCCATTAAAAAACTTACACTATGGCAGGCCGGATAACATAGGATTTATACATTCATACCTCCACACACGATCGGATATTACACAAAGTTGGATGTGAGGAAGGAATTATGCTAGGCTGAAGATATTTTAGAACAGGCCAGAAAAACCCTGTGGCAACCACGTAAAGCAGGACACAGGAGGAACAAACCACTGATGTGTATCATTTTACGATGCAGAAAAAGAATGTTTACCAGCTCAGAACCATACCACCTTATTTGTAAGAGTTTTTCAATACAAGGCTAGAAACATATTTTAGCTCAAAGCAGTATCCAAACAAAATAGAACGATAATTACAATAAAATAATCTGATTTTTCTAAAAATCATTTTAGTTCAAGTTTTAGCTGAAGCTGATAGGTAAGAGCCAGTCTGTAACCACTGCCCTACCTTTTACTGTGACCACTGAAATCTGTCACATTCTAGCCTTGGTTATCCCTCCGCCTTTCTACACAGGAACCTGTCCGCCCACCTCCCTACCCCAGCATCACAGCAATTCAGTCTGGTGAACAAAAAATTCAGATGTACGGAAAGCCGTTTTATTTCCAACTATAAAAGGTCTAATTTCTCAACACTCATTTCAGCATAGGATTAGTTAGTCTACCATCAGCAGCTAAGAAAGGAGGTGATTCCTCAAGCACGGGATACAGTGGAAGGAGAGGGAGCAGCTGATATTTGCTACTGAAAACCACCCAGTTAATATAACGAATATGGCCACCTCACAAAACTATTTTAAGACTCAAATGCATTGTGTGTAACAGAATGCTTTGTAAACTGTGAAGTGCCATACAAATTTCTGAACAGGGCTTTCATTGATAAGACTAGAACTTGGTCAGCACCACAAAATAAATCAATAAACAGATAAATAAATAAATAAAATAAAAATAAAAAATGATCAGGGGCTTGTTTAAGAATATGTTGGGTCAGCATCTGAAAAGCGCCAATCATACAGACATGGGAGGCTGGCTGGGTTCCATTTATTCATTACACCACAGGTATGGAATTAGCCAAAAAACCAACATCCTACTGTATGTCTCTGAGTTACTGCTTCTATACTGTAAAGAGATGAGACATACAGAATCTGAATTCAAAAGTTGTGTGATTTTCAGGAACGTGCTTCCAGCCTCAACCAGGAGGACGAGTCTGTCTTGAGTCAATTTGCATCAGGAGTGATATAGAACAGTATTTTGCAAAATTAGGCACTAAGCTCCTTGACATTGGCTGAGGCGCTTACCTGGGTGATACTTTCGGCCATCAGAACCAGAAAAGAGGGAGAGAGGGGGTGGGGAGACACCTAATCTGGACACTTTCTGCCCATGGGCTGTTCTGGGCACGCCCACCCACTGACCAGCAGCATGTGCTCGCTCCTCCATCCTTCTCCTTCTCTCCAACAAGCGGCATCTGCTACAGGTGATCCCACCCTTCACCCGACTCAGCAGCCTTCTTGGTCTCCTCCTCCCCCGCCACCATCTGCATCTCTAGAGCTTGGGGTGCCCAAAACCGGCTTCTCTCCTCCTCCATCGACATTCAGTGCCTTGATGTTCCCATCTGGCTTTCACTTCCATGCTGACCTTCCCTTCAACTCCAGCCTTGGACTCTACTGGCCACTGGAAGCTTCCATTTGGATATCCTGCTTCTCCCTCTTCCATTCCCCCTGCCGGTGTTCCCTCTCTCACGGTCTCTCTCTGTCAAATAAATAAATAAAATTTTTTTTTTTTTTTTTTTTTTAATGTATTGGGGCACCTGGGTGGCTCAGTGGGTTAACGCCTCGGCCTTCGGCTCGGGTCACAATCTCAGAGTCCTGGGATCGAACACCGCATTGGGCTCTCTGCTCGGCGGGGCGCCTGCTTCCCCACCCCCCCATCCCCCACCTGCCTCTCTGCCTACTTGTGATCTCTGTCAAATAAACAAATAAAATCTTTAAAATAAATAAATAAAAATAAAAAGATAAAAAATGTATATTAACTGGCTCAGATCACAAGCTGGTGAAGAAAGGCTGGGGTTTGAACCCAAGTATTGTGAGACCCTGCCCAAGTCTACACCTTCTCCTCCAGCAAGTGCTCTACAGGCTTTCAATTCTGGAGAATGAATGGATAATGAATGAGCAACCCCTCCCCGGCTTGAGTGAGAAATAATGGCGTTGGCGCACCAGTATTCGCATGCTCTGGGACTAAGCAAGGAAGGCACCAAGGGTGTCCTGGCCACACCCACACCCCTGACTAGATGGAGGTCTCTTGGCTGTGCCTGTTCCACTTTTCAGCAGAGAGCCTGGAAATTTCCTGTAAATCCTACAAAACCCAACGATCTTCTCCCTGTTTTTTCTCCAAATGCACAACGTGAAATCAAATGAGTCTGTCAGCAAAGGGCAATTTAGCTTGGAGGTACTCACTGCTGAGGAGGGGGTGGGAGAGGGGTGCAGGGGTCCAGACCTGGCGAGACGCACAAGACCTTTTCTCCTTCCCCCACCAAAGCAATCTATAGCAGAAGATAAGTGTAAGAATCAACCATCTGGAAACAAGAAAATTCATGGAAGGGAGAAATTAGGAGCAGGTGATACTGGGTGTTAGTGGGAGGGATCAGAAAATACTCTGAGGCCCAAGGGAACATTCTAGCCTGACTGGGCCTCTGGGCTGCCCCTGCTCCTCTGGCACACATAGAAAAAGAGAATGTGACATGACACCTCTTTACTAAACCTAAATGCCACTTTCACGGTCCCTTTTCAGGCTCAACATCACAAGAGCTAAACACAACTCAACACTCACTGATACACGTTCATGTGTCTGCTATGCTCCAGGTGCAATGTCCGTATCAGAGAAAATAATTTTAGCATGCACACCTGACTTCCTGGCACGCTGAGTATCCACTAGGAAATCTGAGATTTAAAATTAGCTCTGGGGGCACCTGGGTGGCTCAGTGGGTTAAGCCTCTGTCTTCCTTCGGCTCTGGTCATGATCTCAGGGTCCTAGGATAGAGCCCTGCATCGGGCTCTCTGCTCAGCAGGGAGTCTGCTTCCTCCCCCACCCCCTGCATGCCTCTCTGCCTACTTGTGATCTCTCTGTCAAATAAATAAATAAATAAAAATTCAAAATAAAATCAGCTCTGTGTGAACTATCTTATACATTTAAATCTCAACCAAGTAAGAGGGATTTGTTTTCTAAGATGGTATTATAAATTTCTCCTATGATTTAAAAAAAACTAACTTCATCAAATTCTTATAGGACTTGTTTGAAATTGACAAGAACAAAACACTCAAGGAATTTGATTTTTATATATTCAAAAATCTAAACCTGTAGTGGAGAAGACAGATGATTGGTTGGCGGGACCTGGTGGCAGCAGCAAGGGTTAACCGCAAAGGCACACAAAGGAATCTTTGGGCTGATGGAACAGGTATGTATCTTGACTGTAGTGATAGCTACATGACTTGATGTATTTGACAGAATTCACAGAATTTCACTAGCAAGAGTGAATTGTACTGTGCCTAAGTTATACTTCAATATAAATATCTTAAAAACTTAAGACTTCTAAAAATTGTAATTCAGGGGGCACATGGGTGGCTCAGTGGGTTAAGCCTCTGCCTTCGGCTCAGGTCATGATCTCAGGGTCCTGGGATCAAGCCCCACATCGGGCTCTCTGCTCAGCAGGAAGCCTGCTTCCCCTTCTCTCTCTGCCTGCCTCTCTGCCTGCTTGTGATCTCTCTCTCTCTGTTAAATAAAAAAATAAAATCTTTAAAAAAATTGTAATTCAGTGTACCTTCATAATTGATCTAGACAACAGTCTAAGGGATTTACTTGGACATAGATGTTTAGTGTAGTTAATGGAATTTTTAAATTCAAGTATCTCTTTTCACTCTTTAAAAGCAAAAACTCATATAAATACATAAATAACAAACGAAAATGTGGGTCAAACACAGTCAATGCCACAAAATCCATTTGAATCTTTTTCTTTCTCTCCTTCAAATTCTGCCCCCAAAGCCCAAAGACACTGAAAAACCTGAGGAGAGAGCAGAAAACAACCCAGAGTGGTCACTCTTAAGTGTTGACATCGGTGAGAAACCAAATTCTACCTTTTGCATTAAATGCATGGGTCCCCAAATGGTGGGT